CACCAGGGGCCGCCCCCGTCCCGCAGCCGGCGCCCCGGCCAACCGTCGCCTCCGCGGTCAGAACCCCCGGGAAGGAGCCGGGAGGAAGCGGGGAGAGGAGGAGAGTCTTTGTGGAGGGAGAAGACGCGTGAGGGGCGTTCTGTTATGACAGAGGAAAAATAAAGCGTGCTGAAACGTGCGTCGTTCCATCCTTCCTTCGCACCCCCAGAGCACTTTGCTGGTATTTTAGGTGGCATTACTCCCTCTGCTTCGGTTTAGGGTTATGTTGAAGAGTTTACTCCTGGGGCTGAAGAGGTGGGGGTGGGGGATGAGCTCCTTGCCAGCAGCAATTTGCAGGTGGTTGGATGAACCTCCGTATCCCCAGGACTGCTACCTTCTAGGGGAAGGGCAGGCAGTGAAAACCTCTAGAAGGCTAGGGGTGTCCAGTGGGGAGGGATTGAAGAGGGGGTGTGCGAGCTTCCTAACAAAGAGCAGGAAGAGGGGGCCAGCCAGCCGGGAGGGCCACATTCAGTGCAATCCTTTACCTTGTCTCTGGAAAATGACCCTCCACTTACAGACCCACAAAGAATGAAACACCGAGTGCAGATGCCTTAAGGTGGACTTGGCCAGAATCTGTCCTTGAGTGTTTCTACTCACAGTAGCTAACTTTTCTAATCTTGTCCATTATCAGTTCTTTCAGGGCAAAGGTCATGCATAGTTTATGACCCATCCTAGCACCCAGCATATTTAATACGTACTCAGGCTTAATGAGTTGATGTGTGGACCTAGCCCTGGGAAGACTGAATCCAAGTGTGGTTACCAATTAATCTACTGTTGCTGTTGAGACGTCGTCTTTTGACAAACCTCACCCCCCACCAGAGGAATTTAGCAATGGTTGTTTGGACTCCCACAGCTACAAAGACTTCCCAATCATTTTCTAAGGCCAGGAAGAAGGGCACATTCATAAAACCTCTTTTTGAGGCACTACCATCCAAGACCTCCTGGATATATACCGTGTCTGCCACCAAAAGCCTGTGCCCTTTTTAAAGACAAGAACAGACCCAAACAAGATAAATAGGGTCTGTCAGGACCCCAGCCTCGCCTCTCCTAGCAGCCTCTTTTCATTTATGCTGCCTCTCAACTTTACAACCCCTTCCTTCTATCAAAATAGGCAAGGGCCTAATTTCTTCCTCCATTTAGCTCTTTCAGCCCTTTATTTCTCTCTGTGGGATGCCCACCACTCTAGGAAAATGAAGTGCTGTTTCCTAGTAGGTCCTTAGCCTTCAGCTTCATTTCTCTTAGCTTCTGCCAATCCATTTCAGTTCTAACGGATATTATGACAAGTCCTTAATAAGAAGCATGCCATTGGACTCCTTTCTTCTGAATAAAGTCTCTCCCTTTTTTGTTTCTTAAGCATCTCCGGTGCCAGCGAGTGCCTGAGATCTGACCCCAAATGAATGTTAACAAATGCTGTTTCCATTGAATAATCTAAGGCACAAGAAAGGATATATTGTAATATATATTTTAAACAAATCAGACCACAACAACCCTGAAGCAGTCAGTAACGTGTTTGTGTCTAAAGAAATAGTAAGCAGAATATCAAAGCCATAGATGAATGCAATCAGTATACAGTGGTCCTTGGTTGACAGTGGTGGCTAAATTATTATTCTAATGTAATCTTTCAGACATTGTCTTGGACTAGAATATAGTTTTTACCTTAGTTCCTTTTCTTCATTAGAAAATATATCTTTGAACTCTCAATTCTTGAAATCCATGGGCATAGTTGAATGACCTTAACTGAAAAATTCCCACCTTTGGGCTTATGAATTTGTTGTGTGTGAGCTCAAAAGTATCACTTGACCTGACTGACTCTCTCTCTCTCTCTCTCTCTCTCTCTCGCCACATCACTGAATTCTGACCCATACTCTTACTAAAATCCCCACCAGCAAGACTGAGATGACCCCTAGGAGCAGGAGCCCTCGCCGCAGTATCAACTGCCTCCCAGTCAACTTTGTCATGTCCCTTGGATGGACCTGAAGATGTTCTTCTTGGTGTATCTGCTGATCCAACTGGGTCTCGTCTTTTTTTTCAACATCTCTCATTAAAGTTTCTCCACAGTTTTCTGGGCCCACTAGGGGAAAAAGGAACTTAGTTAACAACTTAAAAGGATTTTTTTTTTCTATTGGTATAAAAGATGTGTAAAAGGTGATGTGTATCTGTGTTACTAGCTGGGAGAAAGTTTATTCAGGAAGCAGTTCCTACACTGGATAAATAAAAGAAATTCTACCTCAGAATGCCTCTCCATTCACTCACAAACACTGACTGGATCCCACTGTCATAAGCTTGGGTCCTCCAGGGAGCTCTGCCTCACTGCAAGAACTTGAGAAATGCGGTCGCTGTCTAAGTTAAAATTCATAGGGGAAATTTTCAAGGGGCCAACATCCATATAATCATTTTGGAAAGAGAACAAGGTCAGCGGAGGAGAAAAATAACCTAAGAAATAATTCAAGGTTATTCACAGAACTGAAGAGAGATGGAATCTTCATGCCAGAAGGCCTACCAAATATTTAGCAGGATAGTGACTCAGACCTAGATATAGTCTCACGACACTTCAGAATAGTAAGAATAAGGAAAATAACCTAAAAGCTCCTCCAAACAATAATCTGTTTAAAGCCCAAGTGTGTTTGCCTGATGAACAGGTGAACCCCACTGACACAAATATACAAATGTCAGTTTCCAAGATCAGGTCAAAGCACAGGGTTACCACATATTAGAATTATCTGTAGAATGCTTGCATGAGCATCATAAATTAGCCAAGGAATTGGCTACCTGCAGCCTTTAATCATATATAGCAATATGTTAATGTCTGGAATTAGAGCAAACAAACTTCAAGTCTGTTACCGCAAATTAAGTGTTTCTTGACTTTATTGTTTGTTTTTGAAACATTTTGCCCTATTTAAGTGGGAGCTCACAGCAGCAAATCTAGTTGTGTGCCATGAATGGCCCCTACAGGACCATCTAGCTAGGCCTGTTCCAAGAGTGGAGGTAGTTATATCATACCTGGGTAAGGTAAGTCTTGAGAGAGAGAAGTCCCATCCTGGGCCATATTTAGTTTCACATTGGCATGTACCTGAGCCTAGAAGATGAAATGCAAAGTAAATCCACAAAGCTTTACCATAGTGTTGTTAAAACATTTGACTTGACTACTAAGTTTAGGAAGAGACAAGCCATTGTCTTTAATTGACATGTAACACTGGAGCTTCTCTAGTTGACAAGTATACAATCATTCCTCGTAATGATTGATGTGGGGGTCAGTGGGTGGGGGAAGATTGGACGGAAAAGCACAAGATGAGGGGGAAGATGGAAACCAAGATCATTTGTAGTTATCTCTTTTTTTCCCTTCATCCCTTTAACCTATTTTTCGGACCCCACACTGACCCTAGAAAAATGGAGAGAAAAGTGCATACAAATATTTTAACAGAATATTTGGGGTGTATAAAAAACAATATCCGGATAAATCTGATGGCATCCCACCTTTCTCTTCAGTTCCAAATCTTGTCCTGAAATTGGCTTTTCAGGCACAAAGGCGGAAGCCTATCATGAGATACAAGGAAGAAAAGAACCCCCTATTTTTCTATTCGATGAATAAACAAAGGGGAATGGATGAGGCAAGGGTCATCTGGCTCTTCACATCTGTATTAAATGCTAACTGCATTTAATTAAAACAAAACAACAACAAAAAAGTAGCATTCATGATAAAAAGAAAAAAGAACCTTCCAAAATGGGGGGTGAGGAATGAGAGGAAGTGTGAGGAGAGAGAGAGAAAGCTAATTCTGTTTGTTTTCTAGGAGAGCAAATTTTACAGCGACATCGATGAGCATACTTACCTGTTGACAGGCTTTTTCCCAGTTTAGCCTAGCAATAAAGCCTAGAAAACACACAGCTTGACAGATCGTACAGATGATGATCCCCGACCATAGACCTGTAAGTGGAAATATTTAATAGAGGTTAATTTTGTGGAAAACCAGCCACCCTTGGGGAGTACGTTTCTCGTATCCCACTTCTGAAAAACTGCTTTTATGGCTGAGATGGAGCCAGAGATCTCTGTCCTGCTCCTTTGGTTTCCAGACGTTTTGGGGAGTCTCAGCGCTCCTTGGGGCTACTTCTTGGGGTTTTGGAATCAGAACAAATGTTCAGAATCATAATGCTTGGCTATTAAAATAGTGACAGTTATAAGAAAATAGAATTTCCAGAACAAACAACTTCCTATCGCTGATAGTACTACCAAACTACTGTACCGTGTTTTCTTCAAAAAAGGAGACTAACATTTTAAATATGCAGAAGTTACCAGTCATCTAAAGTGCTAAAGCCTGCTGGGAGCTACTTGCAAGATCTCACTTGCTTCAAGTGCAAACTTTGGGAAAAACCAGGGCAGGGTTGTCTGCAGAGAGATGATTTCACAAAAGGAGAGGCTGGTTGGGAATGGGCGATGGGAAAAGCCTTGTAGATCTCAAAGCACCATATAAACTGTACCTAATAAACCCACACAAAAACAGAGGAAGACCCCAAGGGATGAGGATTTTTTTGTTGTTAACTGATGACAGAATCAGAAACTCTAACAATAGCTGTGAGACAATGAAGATACAAATTGACAAAGGTCAAACCATCTACAAAAATAGAACTTTGACCCAGAACCTAAAGCAATCAGTCCAGAAAACCAACTTGTCCAGAAAACCAACCCCTTATCTATAATCAGCATCCCAGGAAGCCAGCCTGCTGTACTTTAGCCTTGTCGGAGGCCAGATTGCAATCTAGGAAGCTAAATAATAATTTCTGCAACAATTGGCCCAAAATAGCCAAGACTTGGTCAAGAACTGATAGCTTCCCTAATTTTTGTCCCTGCTTTCAACTTAGGACCAGACAGAGAAAACCAAACATGCACCCCCTAAACAATCTCACAATGCCCCACTTCGAGTCAGCATGCCTCTAGCTTCCCCAGGCCAACAACCTCTATCAGTGCACACACCTGAGCCTTCCCTTTGTTCCACTGTAAAGTTCCCCCACATCTTTGCCTGCCTTTGTCCGCCAAAATGCAAGTGACGGTGGCTGACTCCCTTGTTAGAGCAAGCTTTGAATAAATCGCCTTTGCTTGTCCCATTTGGTTGATCTTCGTTTATTTATTGATCCGGATAATGGTAAGGTAGCTAGACTGGGCTAATGGTTTATAGGTTGAGGTGGCCAGAGACAGTGCAAAGTTTACAACTGTGCTCCTTGGTACCATTCGCCCTTATATTACATTTTCCATGTGTAATCTTCCTAATATTTAGAATAAAGTTGGTGACTACCTGACATTCTTTTAATGAACTAGTCAAAGCACTATGTGTGTGTGTATATATATATATGTGTGTATATATATATATACATATACATACACACATATACATACACACAAATATGTATGTATATATACATGTATATATGTGTACAAAGTATGTACATATATCTACAGACAAACACATATATATATGCTTTCTCTTTCAAATCCAGTGTTCTCAATCCATAGAAACTACAAGCTCACCCTATCTTAAACAGAATGTAACCAGCTATTTCTAGGTGTAATTTGAAATTTATAAATTAGATTTCCAGGAATTTCACTATATACTATTTAAAAGATTCCTGTTTGACCCAACCTAAGAACCCTAAAACAGGATGGTTATTAGAATCTCCTTGGCAGGGCCCAGGAATCTGTGTATTTGAAAAGCCTCCTGGGGAATTATGATGACCACAATTTGCTGGAGTTGCCCATGAGAACCTGTGGCATTCTGATGCTCCTCTTGGCACTTGCAACCCTACCAGAGGTGACACAATATTCAAAAACAGTTGGTACTACGCTTTTTATAAGTGATAGGTGGCAGAGATTGACTGCAATCTTCTCATAGAGCCCTCACCAACCCAGAGTTCCTAACATTTGTTTAATTGAGGTGTAAATGACACATAGCATCATATTCATTTCAGACATACATCATCATAATTTAATATTTGTACATACAGTTGACCCTCAAATGTAGGGGTTAAAGGTACAGACCCCTGTGCAGTTGAAAGTCTGCATATAATCTTTGACTGCCCCTAAATTTAACTACAGTTGGCCCTATGCATCCTCGGAAAACAGTACTTGCTATCCGCAGTTGGAAAACCACTGTAGGGAATACAAAAAGACTGTTTTTGATCCATGGTTAGTTGAATCCATGAATGCGAAATCTGCAGATACAAAGGACTGACTGACTACATTTATTGAACAAAATCCACATATAAGTGAACCTGCACAGTTCAAATTCATGTTCAAGAGTCGACCATACTGTGAAATGATCATCACAGTAAGTCTAATTAAGATCCATCACCACACAGTTCTTTTCTTCTAGTGATAACTTTTAAGATCTACTCTCTTAGTATCTTTCAAGTATATAAAATATTATTTTTAGCTATAGTCGCCATGCTATACATTACATCCCCATAACTTATTTATTTTATAAATGGAAGCTTATACCACAACATCACTTTTAAGTGATTCTTAACCCCCTACACTTTGCACATAGTAGGTATGTTTTATTAATGATTTAGTGGGCCTAGTACAGCACTTGGGACACAGATGCATCTATATTTTTTGATGGATTCCTTTAATATTTCCCTTAACTATGCCATTGTCAAATCTAAAATATGAGTAAAGCCAGAAACTCAGCTAAATAATTTTCTGCACCATAATGCAGTGAACTTTGCATTGGTGACTCCGTTCTTTGAACATCTCATGTATTTTTCATTAAAATATTATTGAACTAGAGAAAAATGTGCAACATAATGGGACACCCTGGTCTAGAAGTTTACTCTAGATATCAGATGACTTCTCATCACTTCTGAGCCTGCCAAGTACTGATGGATGAAAACAAACCATGCTTAAGTCAGTCACTTCCTCATCCAAAGATAATGTGTTCAAATTTTAATAGTCATTTATTAACTGCCAATGTATTCCAAATTATTATTTTAGAAATCAAAGCTGGGCAGTCATATCTTTCTCTACTTAAAAAAAAAAAATAGCTCTGGTAATTTCAGATGTGTATTAAGTTCTTTTCTCCAAATGTAGTAAGGTAATAAAGAGGTCCCCTCCACCCCTGTCTTTCTTCTGGGCTATTCACACACATCACACCCATGGCCTTGTGGGGAGATCCACAAGACATACGGCTTAAAAAATTGTGCCAGGCAGGAGGTGAAGGTTGCAGAATGACAATGAAAGTGACATTGAGAGCACGGCTCTAGGGTCATTCCCTATGCATTGCCCTCCGTGAATCCTGCCAACTGTGTGGGCTAAGGCTCAGGGGGCATTGCTCTAGGATGTATGTAGCCACCATGGATGCTCTTGCAAGTTCTACAAGAATCACACCAATGTCATCCCACAGCTTCTCCTACCTCAACTATAAACTCTCCAGTATAGCCAGTTTACAATGGCCTCAGTTAGTCCTGCAGACTCACTCTCAGGGTCTTACCATACAAGGCTGTCACCAAAGGACAGAACAGGCGCCACAGAGGTACATTTCTGAATGCTTCTTCAGCAGTCCCTGCTGTCACAAACTTTGAAGAAGTAAGCATTCAACGACAGGACAAGGAGAGGAATAAAAATGTCATGTTGCTCTGCTCAAGTATGTCAGTGTGGAAGGTGGCCCACCTGGACAAGAAGGGCATGAACATGCAGCCCTGGGCCCCTGGCTACGTCCTGCCCCCTCCCTGCTCTCTGACAGCACAGAATGAATGTGGGAAGGCTCCAAAGTTCCAGAGCTCTAGATACAAGCCTATGTTATGTGCTCTGACAGTCATTTCTGGGGCACGTGAGTAACTCAACTCTGCCTGCCCATAGTTAAAGCTTACCAATCACTCCCAGTCTGGTTGCAAACATCAGCGAAATCCCGATCGGGAGACCAATCACATAGTACCCAATGGCATTAAAGATGGCTCCAACTTTCTGATTTCCACTTCCCCTCAGAATGCCACCACTTGTACACTGTAGGCAAATGATATTTACCAGTGTGAATGGTGCTGATGCTTTTGAAAGACACCCAATCCCTGAGCTGCCCCATTCCATGGAACGCTGACTTCAAATCTGTGATCATGTGCCAGTGTTCTTGTAAAGCAAATATAAAAATATTCAGTATTACCTCCCTACTCACCCACCTCCCCCACCCTCTTCTCTTTTTAAATTTACCATAATCAGAAGAAACACACAGATCATAAAAATGCTTAAGGGAATACTGCATAATACTTACGGCAAGACCCTCAAAGAGATGGGAAACAGCATAAATAGGAACCACTTGAGCCACTAGAGCAATGATTTCTCTGTTAGGAAAATAAGGCACATGGTGATCAGGAGACAAACATTTGAAAAAGTAAACTCTGAAGTTCCTCATTGACTGCACTTGGCTTCTGTGTATAACTGAAGAGGCTCATGCATTTCGGCCAATATCCTATTCAGGGACAACTCTACTGTTTCTTGGCCTATAGTGGAAACCAACTCTATACTATATCTCATGACCTTTATAAAAAATATATAGTCCATTCACTCAATGCAGACAGTTCAATCAAATGATTTGGTACTCCTCTTCCCCCACACAAAAAAATACAATTTGGGTTATAGTGCCATCCTACTTTTAACATGATTCCACGTGTGTCTCTCTGTGTGTCTGAATGAATGAAGCTCAACAGAATTAGAATTAAAGTTCTCCCTATGGAGCCACAAGGTTGGCAAGATATAAAAGCCATAGGTATAGTTTACAGAATTATCCTTGGTTCCTAGAAATAGGCCCTAACCTCTAAAGCTAGAAACTTGTATTTTAATGCTTATACTCTAAGAGAGACTAGAAACATGCTGCCATTGACCTGAGGAGACAAAAAATTCAAAATATCCTTGAGTGATTAACAGATAAAACTAGAACATTGTGTGGCAATAAATATTTGTTGAATGAATGAATAAGAAATCCAACACTGAACAAGATGGTTATCCCCCCCAACCCAAAATAAAGGACAGAAATACAGTTCTTTTATTCAAAATTAATTTTATTTTTGAATAGATAATACGTGTAAATGGTTAAACAAAATCAAACAATACTAAAAGGAAATTGAGAAAAAATTTTCTTCTACTACTTTCCCATTACCAGCCATTACCACCACCACCCCAATCAGGTAACAATTCTTATTAATGTCTGTATTTGTCCAATGTTTATGAAAATATAAGGAAATACAAATATATTTTCTTATTTTCCTTTTCTAGACTATTATTTCATATTATAGCACTCTCTATATGATGTTCTGCACAATTATTTTTCCACCTAATATGTTACATTCACTTCTATATTTCATCAAAATATATTATTTTTAATGTGCTGGTGAATGCTGTCTACTAATATTTTATTTTTTATTTTAAAATTGATATTAATAAGTGACATTGGTCTTTGACTTTTTTATCATGCAAACTTTATCAGAGTTTAATACCAATGTTATATTTGCTTCGTAAAAATTGGGGAAAATTTTCTTTTTCTGCTTTCAAGCATTGGAAATACCTATGTTTTAAAGGTTTTATAAAATCCTACTTTGGAACCTTCTGGAATTGGTGCTTTTTGAAATGTTAAAATAATTTTTCTTATTTCTTCTAAGAGAATCAGTCTTTTAAAACCTTCTATGTCTTCTGGGTAAGTTCTGATAAATTATTTTCCTAGAAAATTATTTATTCCTTTCAGATTTTTTAATCTACTTGAAAAAGTTGTGCAAACCAGTCTCTTATGCTTTAAAAATTATTGCGTGATGTTGTTGTTGTTGTTGTTTTAGTAATTTTCCCCTTTCTTACTTTACTTAGAGGTGTTCTCTCCCTTTTTTAAAAATTAGGTTGGGTATCTGTCATTGTTAAAATCTATGTCATCGATTCTGCCAATTTCAGTTAATCCTGGCCATTTTACAAATAATTTATTTTGCAAGTTTTTTATGGATCCTAATTTCATCGAAGGTATAGTTTCTGAGTCTTTTGTTTTTCATTCTTTTTTCTGCTCTGCATGGTTTCCAGAAGTGGACAGATTCAAAATCAAACATCTACCATGTTCCTATTGAAACCATCAGTGCAGGATACACTTCTGATAAAGTAGGTTCTGAATCTCTTTGAAGAAGTAAAAATGATTTCTGGTTGCCTTCTCAGTCATTCAGAAGTGAGGGATAGCTAAACACCTTATTTCCTCACAGCAAAAGGGCTGAGGCTGAAAGATAACACCTAACATCCGAAGTCAAAAGACAATTACCTGAAGAATAGATGGTAAACGTCAGTTCTGTTAGTTCTGTGTGAAAATTCACCTGTTTTCTGAATCCAGGAAGGAAGTCAATTTGCATTTTGTAATTGCTGATAAAATAGTCCCAAATAAGAGGTGTCTACACAATATATCTATATAGTCAGAATGTACCAGCTAGCTTCACTGATGAAAGCAACAAAACCAACCAAACAAACAGAATCTGCAGAGAAGAGAGGATTCATCTTGTATAAAATTTCTTCTTCAGTAATCAATCTGATGATGAGATTTTCAAAGACAGCTCATTTGGTCTGACAAATATATTATGCAAATACTGCAAACTAAGTACTCTGGCAGATTCTGAGATACCAAGATGGTTCTTGTCATTGGAACAAAAAAAAATTCACAGAAAATGTAAACAATGGTACCAAAAAGGAATTTCCTTCTTCAAAATACACGAGTATCCGGACCACCAGAAGCATGTATCTCCACCAATGCCCATTACATTGGCACTATAGATTATAGTTCCTGTGCCCTATCAGTTTTTCCTGAGTAACATCACTGAGTTTCTGACTTTGCAAATTACTCAGAAACCCTCTAAGACACAACAACCCCAGAAGGCTCAGCATGAAAGCACCTGCCCAAACATTTCTTTATCACAGATTTTACATTTCAAGAAAATGTCGGCACTCACCTGTCAGTAGTGAAAATGTACCCCACAAGATCCTTACAGCTTAACAGCAGGACACAAAAGGTTACAGCAAAGAGTTCTGGAGGTAAAATGGCAGAGAAACAGCACAGTGAAAAAAGGGGTCTTCAGAGAATGGGGAACCTGGGTTTCCGGTGCACAGACTGCTCGGGCGAGTCGCTGACTAAAAAGTCTAAGCACCTGTGACCAGCATGGAGACAACCGAGGACTTCTTGGCCTGCTTGATGTTCCCGGCACCCAGTGCATTCCCAATCCGGACGCTGGCAGCCACACTGAAGCCTGTAGGTATCTAAAAGGAAAAGGAAACAGTGAGAGGACTGAGCCGAGAAGAAGCCCTGCCTCTCGGCTCCATCCAGATCCTCACCGTGCACCTTCCCCAGGGAAGAGGAACCAGGTAAATAAAGTCTCACACTTTACTGGTAAAATTTGGTCCTAAAAGTTATGAGAAGACTCATTTGCAACATCTCCTTGTCTAGCTGGGATCCCCAAGGCTAACATGGAACCTGGAACCCCATGGCTGTGATCTTTATCACACACCTGGCTTTTCTACAGAGTTTCCAACCTCTGTCACATTTACCCTCTAGGTGTGGAAGGACAGACTGCCAGGAGCCCAAGCCAGGTCTGTTCTGAAAGATCATCAAGAAATCAGGTTTAGAAGACAGAATCCTAAAATGGTGACCTTCCCCCACCCAAAAAAATGTTGAATAAAAAAAACTTAAGAAAAAAAAGACCCAGAGGGTAGAGAGGGAGGGGAGAGGTAGATGGGGTAAAGGGGTTAAATATGTGGTGACAGAAATCTAACTACAGGAGGCAAAAACACAATATAAATATATATATATGCCTTACTGTTAAAATGTACAGCTGAAACTTTCTGGATTTCGTTAACCAATGTCACAGTAAATAAATAAATTAATTTAATTTAATTTAATTTAATTTTAAAAAATAGAAAACAAAGACACATACCAACCTAACAGCAGTGCTACCCTTCTTGTGAGGGCATGCGTGGGGGCAAAGGAGATACAGGAAAGCAGTATGGCATTATGGTTAGGAATGGGAATTCTGACACCAGACTTCCTGGGTCCAAATCCTGACTCAGCTACCTATCAGCTGTGTGACCCTGAGCAGGTTACTTACTCTCTCCAGACCTCAGTTGTTAACTATAAAAGGGATCTCATAATAGTACCTACTTATTAAGGTTATCGTGGGAATCGAATGAATCCATGCATTCTAATAACTGCTTAGAATAATGCTTCACATGTAGTAATTGTTCAGTAAAAATTAGCCATTACTATTATCTAAAAATTTACCACTTGAGAAATTAGTATTAATTTAAAAAAATTATCTCTCTTTTAAACATGAATTTTGCCTTATGACCAGGATTGCTAAAGGCTATAGAAAATCTGACACACACAGTGAGGTATATAAAAGAAATGGGAGACTGAGTCCCTAAGTGGGAGCAAACACATGGGTCTCCCAACAAATTATTTATTAGTCACAAAGAGAAAGAGAATAACTGGGTGGAGAAACCTGGCAGACAGTGCTTTAACCAATTAGTTAATATCGCCAATCAATAACGGGGCAAATCCACATCACGTGCCTCCTGAAATGATGCACGAGAATGACATAGCACCACTGCTATAGTATTCCTGCCAAATATGTAGGGTCAGAATGTGTTCAAGAGGAAGTATCCACTACAACGAATTGAGGGAAAGTCTGTGTATAATAGCTTCTATTCTTCTAAAAGATCAAGGTCAAGAAATACAAAGAAAGGCTGAGGACATGTTATAGATTAAAGGAATTAAAGAGGCAGGACACCTTAATGCCAGCGGGAGCGGTGGAGGTGGGGAATTAAAAAGGACATTATCAGAACAATGGATGGTATTTGAATATAGGCTAAGGAGAGATAGATAGATGATAGATAGATAAAAAGATAGATAGATATAGATATAGATAGATGTTAGAAAGAGCAAGCAAATGAGGCGAAATGTAAACAATTGGTTAATATGAGTAAAGGGTAAAAATCTTTAGATTAAGGAGAAACAAATATAAATTCTTATAAGCCTGCTGGAAAGCATATAGCAATATATGCAAGGCTTAAAATATAATTAAATTTCACTTTTAGGACTTTACCTTAATGAAATAATTGAACAAGTATGCAAAGATATTCATCCTAAAGTGTTCATTGAAGTGTTATTAATAATATAGAAACATTGGAAACAAACTATTTTCAAAAGCAGGAGATTGATTTTAAAATTACACTACATACAACAGAATACATACCATTAAGAATTTTGAGTTAGATATAGTTACTGGATTTATTGAAATATAAAACATATGCAAATATAAAAATGTTGAAGTAACAAATATAGGTTAAAAAATTCTGCTGAGAATAGAGAAAAAAAGCACAGGTCCTCAAGGGAATGAGTCTTTAGAAAACAAACAAACAAACAAAAAAACAAGAAATGCACTTTGTGCTTTTAAAATATAACCAGTCTTAAGGGCTGGGCTCTAAGCGTTACAAGTACTACAAACAATGTGAAAGCGCACATTCTGGCTTTAGTCCCTTTCCACATTACATACTCCCTTTCTCTCTCCATCTTTCATTTTATATTTCTAAAGTGCTTGCTATGGTGGGGGGAAGTAAAAGTGAAATTTTTGTGCAGGATTTTTTAAAACTAAAGGCTGAAGTCATCCTTTAGCCTTAATGAACTATGAAATATGAAGGCCTTAATTTTGTACAATAAAGTTTTATTTGTATTCTAAAAATAAAAATAAAGTGTAACTTGCTAGAGAAGAAAGCCCTTCAGAATTTCCAGTTGATGTTTTCAGTGAAACAGTTGAAAGAAAGCCTCTAACGGCTTCAGTTCTTCTCCAGCATATCAAAATTTGCTTCATTTTGAGGCTGAATAATATTCCATAGTATGGATAGACCATATTTTGTCTATCCATTCATCCATCAATGGACACTTGGGTTGTTTCCCCCTTTTGGGTATTGTGAATAATGCTGCTATGAACAAGGGGGTACAAAGACCTGCTCAAGACCGCTTTCAATTCTTTTGAGTCTAACCTAGGAATGGTCACACGAAGTTTTAAGAGGTTTCAGACCCAGGTAGGAGCAGAGGTTGGTGAGACACAAGGAGCTTGGCCCTCATTGCCATATATCCAGTGCCATCACCCTTTACTTCCCCACCTGCCCCCAAGGCATTTGTGTTGTGACAACTATTTGGCAAGTATAGCAATGAAATGAAATCTTTCAGATATGAACCATGTTAGGTAACAGAAGACTAGCAGTGAACAAGTCATTTAGAGCATCTCCCCAATTCCATTCACCTCACAGAAAGACCCCACCATACCAAAAAGACCCTCTCTGGCTCTAGGATGAAACTTCACTTTCGTGAATCACTTCACAAATTGTGGCTGAATGTTGTAAATGCCTGTGCTCATCCTAAGACTTTTTCCAGAGACATATCTAGCGCCTCCACACAACCGGTCTTGGACACTCACCATGAATACGACGACGGCTAGTTCATACACAATAGACTGGGCTCCCAGCTCCACCATGCCGAGGATACCTGTGAGCAGAGAGACAGCTGACACCACGCTTCTGGACAGAGCCCCCGTACTTCCACCAGCCATTGCTACCTATCCCCACACTGACCGCTCAGGAAGCTCCCGATCTCGTAGGCCCACCACTCAATGCACAGCATGAGCATGCTGGGGATGGCCAGGTGGAAGAAGGAACCCCAGTCCTGTAGGCACTCGAGAGACCACCCTGCAGATGGGACACAGACACGTTTACAATACATCCAGCCATCAGGCTGGAGCTCGAACTGAGATAAAACCCACGTTAAAGTTGGAAAATAAAAGGCAGCTTTTACCTTCCCAGGTAGCTTGATACAGTTTCTTCCAGAGGATGTAGAGAAATAGGAACAGGGCCAGGGAGAACTGGGAAATCGTATTTGCTAGTGCCGAACCCCTGGGAAGGACAGTTCCAATGAGGGGAGGTGCCTGTCCTCTACCCTCTCCCCTTCACTTAGCAAGCAAGATGAGCACCCACCCCTTACTGAGACGTCTGCAGCAGGCCCTGAGGTCATCTTCTTTCCAGAGAGTATCACTCTCTATCCCTGACCATGTTTTCCAGAGAGGCCCAAGGAGAAGACTACACGTGGTCACAATGACCAGGTAAAGGTCTCACTCTCCCTCACCTCCCACCCTGGAAAAGCCATATATGCAAGTCATTCCTTTTCCCTATCCCAAGAATTGGTTGGACTCACATCACCCCAAGCTGCAGTTGATGGAGAAACAGATAGTTGATGAGGGCATTGACAAGGTTAGCTGCAACTCCAGTTACGATCTGGGGCAGTACGATTCCCTAAAACAAGGAGAGACCGCACCTTGCTGGAGATCCATGGAACGGGACTGCCATTTTCTACCTAAACACACATTAGGCTCTAAGTGGCCTGCATGACTGGCTGTCACAGGCAAACCAGAGGTCCTAACTGTGGATGCCCTGTCCTTGCTGCTCCTACCTGCCCACCCTCCCATTCTCTCCTCTGCCTCCTTCTCTTTGAGGCATAAAGAGCATAGTCCTGGCCACAGAGAGACATGGGCAGGAGATGAGAAGGTGGAAAAGAAGAAAAAGAAGTGGCTTGTCTACAAGAGTGCGAAGACCAGGAAATATTAAAAAATATAAATAAGTTACTTTCCACATTGGACAGTGGGTGAAAGTACAACACTTTCTCAAACAAAATTGAAACTTGAGAAATTAATCTTAAAGAGCTTATGAAACTGGAGTGCGGAATGGCCTCCATCCTATCTGGTTCTGCTCATAAGTACAAGGGCAGAAACATCTGGTCTTATTTGGCATCTCAAAAGAAGACTTAAGGTGTGAGAGTAAAATGACTAACGAAGTAAAAAGCTGTCCTGCCATGCATCAGGATAGAATGACAGACATAGATAAAGCCAGCTGTGAAGTTAACAGAAAATGCTGTTTCTCTCAACTGTGGTGCCAACTCACCCCCTTCTTTGAATAATTACCGCTTTCTTACTCTCTGAGAAATGTGGATCTCTAAAATCACAGATTGTAAGAAATCTTGCTGTTTGAAATCATATCAGTAAAAATAAAACTTCCCACTCTTGCCCAGAAGATTGAAGTCACTCTCATACAAAAAAAGCAGCCTCTATTTCCAACCCGGGGGCAGAGCCTCACATGAACTCCTGGACACAGCAATTGATACCTATCTAAGGTTTGCAGTTTCCAAGGAGAGAGGGGCGTGGGTGGAGAGAGACAGTGTAGAGCTGGCATTGATCCCCTTACTCACAACCTGCTTTGTTCTGAGCCTACAGGAGCATAGCTTCTTTTGGATTTCATCTGAACTCCATCTTTCAGAATCTTATCATAACCCTTCTCTCTTTGTTTGGTAAGAACCCAAGGCCTCTTTGATCTCTCAATGCTACAAGTTGATAAATCTGACTGCTGGACCGCAGGTTTGTCTCTGGTTGTCTCAGTGGTCTTGGGCTCAGGGGCCAGGACAAGGGGCTTGGCCATCCGCTTCTGTGGGTCCCTTATTTATCGGGAGACCCTTGTTAGTTTTTAGCAAGGAAGTTAGTGATTAGATTTGCATTTCAGGTAGAGGTTAAAGAAGTATGTGGTGTGCGATTGGCCCAGAGAAAGACCGGCAGCAGGGAGATGAGGTAAGACCCTGGTGAGGTAACACAGAGGAGAAAGAACAAGAGGTGAATTAAGGCAGGGGCACAGAGGAGGAAGAGGGGCAGGCAGGACCTACAGGACCAGGTGATTAATCAGATGTGGGAGTGAACGAAAAGATGGAGTCACACTTGATAGGATGTGTGAAGGGTAGGTCACCCGAGAGAAAATGGTTGTGGCCACTAATTGAGAAAGAATGTAAGAAAGTGAAAGAGCAGGCTTGCAAGGGGTGAGGAGGAGGTCAAATGCACACTGTGTATGGCTCTCCTACAGGCAGTGGTAAAGGCTGTTTGGAGGTTAGAGATAGACATGTGAGAACCACAGTCATACAGATAGAAACCAAAAACATGCAAGCAGACAACTTTCCTCAGAGTAAGGTAAGAGGAGGCCAATGTTATCACCTTCTCCTTCAAAGTCCTCTCACTCTCCCTCAAAAGTCTAAGCATTCCTCAAGGTTGTGTCTGGTTCTCTCCCTACCCTATACTCTCTCCAATAGTATTTATTAACTTTCTCAAAAAAAAAAAAAAAAAGCTGCTTCTCTTATGTGTGCACTTACTAATGGGCCGGGCCTCCAAGATGGAAATGGGTTAAATGTAACTCTTTCCTTTCCTGAAGCAATTTCATTCTACAGGACCTACCCCACTATTATGTCCCCCATTGCTCCTGCAGGGCAATTTTTTTGTCATCATAGACATGCATCACCTTTTGTTTGGACCACGTCCATAACTCTTATCTCTTCCCCTGGCGATTAACTTGTTTCTCACAAACTAAAATCCAAAACAGAGAACACAAGACTCTGCAGGTGCTGACCTCAGGCCAGTCCCCCTCTTGTTTTATTGTCTACTGCGCCCCTCCATCACTCTGTGGCCTAACACAGCCTCTGCTTTCTCACTCCTCCATGACCAGGCTTCTGCTGCCCCCCGGGTCTGTGAAGCCTGCCCCTTCTTCTGGCCATGGGAATCCTAAGTGTTCTTCATAACCCAGTGCACACCCCCCGACCTCTCACAGTCCATGGCTCCTACTTTTGGGTCTTTCCTTCTGCCTCAGAGTATTGAAGAGAGGGGTTTCCACACCCCCTCTCCTCACTAGATCAGGTTAGAGCCTGCGGTCATGAGACCCCATGTTTGCTGGGAGACTGAGAGTCAGGGGACGGCCCCACAATGTGCTGAGTCTTCAGCACAGCTCTAGACAAGGTTGTAGCCAGACAGGGCTCAGGCATGCTGATTTCTACCTCTTTACAGACATTTCAAGTCTACGATTGTGACACTAATAAAGATTTGAAATATTGTTGTCTTGTTAATAGGATAATATCTTAATTTTAAGAACATTAAATAGGTGGAAACTTCCTCCTTTATCTCTCCTCTCCCTTCCCCCACTGTTCCCTACGCCCTGAGAGCCTGCCTGTATGACCGTGACCTATTGCCTGGTTTCATCTGGAAGGAAGTTAATGTCCTTCACATGCTGGCATCATAAATCCATATCTACTGGCCAGGGCAGCTGTCCCTGGGCCATTGTCCATTGCTGTTACATATGAAGAGCTCTGACTGACGTGAGGCATTATTACAAAGTGGGTTTTTATGTCCTCACTGAGGAAAGTGGGGCCTTCCAGACAGACCCAAGCTGAGAGCTCGGCTCCTTGGAGCCTGACAGGCACTCTTACTTCCAGGGATCCGGTGACAGCACAAAGCCAAAGAACACTACAGCTCTAACCTCTAATCCTGCCAATGACAATATTTCTAAGTGAGAATCAGATAAAAATTTCCAAAGCCAGTAATAACCTGTTCTTTGCTAGATATCACTTAACAAACCTCTCCAGACCCAAGTCCTGCGTGAACACAGGGAAATGTATTTCAGTGGCTTCTGGCAGATAAGTTCCTCACTCTGGTCTAGCTCATCCCGGAGTATTTTCAGGGTCCCCAGTCCCTGAACGGTGTAAACTCTCATTAACCCCCAGGAAAGAAAAAGGAGAATCTGAATTACCTGGGCGAGCAAATATTTAACTTGTAATGTATAAAGAAAGGCTGCCTACAAGAGAACAAGAGAGGTGAAAGTTAACATTTTGGCCCAGATACACAGAGAGAGCCAAGAGCCACATTTGGTAGCACTCTGCTCCTGCAAGGAGCCACAGAGGTGTGTCATCTGAGAAGGGGATGGGGACAGTAGGGAGGTGCAGGGGTGTCTGGAGCTGAGGTGTTTCAAACATCTCTTTTATGAGTGAACATGATCCAAGCAGCCCCAGGGGCCGGGAGCGCAGTATCCTTGGGTGAATGGCAAGGACTCTTTTGGGGCGGTGGGCTGTGAAGGAAGACCCTAGGCAAACTAGAGGGGGATGCTTCCTTTTATAGACTAAACTATGGCCCTATTTGGTGGGACAATTAAAAGATATTAAAGTTTTTAAAGTCACAGGAAAAATTTAAGACAACAATACCAATTATGAGGGCAGACAGCTACTTTTAAGGGCTGAATTGTGTGCCCTCCCCCAGTCCATATGTTGAAGCCCTAACCCTCAATGTGACTGTAGTTGAAGATAAAATCTTTAAAGATGTGATTAAGTTAAAATGAGGCCATTAGGATGGGTCCTAATCCAATTGGACTGGTGTCCTTATAAAAAGACGAGAGACACAGAAAGTACATGGACGCAGGGGTGACCATGTGAAGAAATAGCAAGAGGGTGGCTCTCTGTAGCCCAAGGAGAAAGGCCTCAGAGGAAACCAACTCTGCAGCACCTTGATCTTGGGCTTCTGGCTTCCAGGACTGTGAGAAAATAGATTTCTGTTGTGTAAGCCACCCAATCTTTAGTTTTATGTTATGGCAGCTCCAGCAAATTAATACTCACGTATCGCTTAATGATAAGGCTAGGTTTTGGAAATGATTGGTTAGGTGATTTTGTCATGGAAACATAGAGTGCATTTACAAAACTTATATATTAGAGCCTACCACATACCTAAGCTATGATATAGCCTGTTGCTCTGTAGGGGGAAGAAGAACAATTTTCCCTCTAACCTTTCTCGGTTCTTGGCTGAGACATCCCTGTAATAAAAGACTGATTAACAGGAGAAAAATTAACAAAAGTCTAATAACATGTATACCTCCTGTATACATGGGAGAGGAACAGGAAAACTGAATAACTTGCCAAAATGGCTGAAATCATTACCTTCAATACCATCTTCAGCTGAAGACAAAAGAAGATGTTGGGGTTGGAGGGAGCCAGTTACAGAAAATGATCAGGAAAAGCACAGTCAACAAGGGTCAGATTGTTATGCAGATTTAAGTCCTTGTCTTCTGCACTGATAAGAGTTTCTGTAGATAAGGTCATCCCTCTCTGTCTGATACAGCCAGGGAGACTGTCTCTTACAAAGGGTAACTTCTACTTGGTTTTCAGAGTTCCTCCCTTGTCTGCTGTTTTTTAAAGTTAACCAGCCTAAAATAACCCTTCTGCCAAAGAGACATATTTTGGGGTGACAAATTCGGTTCCCCTATAGCTGCTAGGCTACAAACCTGTACAGAATGTTACTGTGCTGAATACCATAGGCAATCGCAATGCAATAGCAAGTATTTGTGTAATGTGTTGCACTAAAACTTCAGGACAGCTACTACTTCACTAAGCAATAGGAATTTTTCAGCTTGTGGGGGTTCAGAACAAGCTGCCCAAAGATGTGCTTCTGCGGTATTTAGATTGTTTTAGCTTCAGGCTCAAGGGAAACTTCTGCCCCTCCCTTCAACTACCTAGAATCTGAAGTAGGGGCCTTGCCCAGAATAGGAAATTATCAGTGATAACCTTTTTGACTCGCCTACATGGCAGGAAAAACTTTTTTTTACTAAAGATATACTCTTCTTTTCATCCTGCAATGACCTTTTGAAGCCCCCAAGGCACCTACCTCATCCTTAGCTCAAGACGTCTTATATACCTAGATCCCCCTTTCTGTCTCTGAACCTCTCCTGCATGTGGGGAGCGGGGGGCGGGGGGCTTTGATTCTCTCATGTATGTGGGATTCCCATGCATATGTATGTATTAAATTTGGTTATTTTCTCTTGCTAATCTGTCTCATGTCTCCTTGATTATTAGACCAGCTAGAAGAACCTTGAGGGAAGAGGAAAGTTTGTTCTTTCGCCACAAGCTACATTATAATGTTATGGGACCACCATCTTATATGCAGTTCATCCATCTTGACTAAAACATCGTTAAGTGGAGCATAACTGTACAGCTACTCTGCCCAACTGAATAAAATTAGCTTAGATTGTTCATTGACCATGCACGACTGTGTCAAGTATTAATATACACCTTGGTTCTGTGTGATCACATTCAGCAAACAAAAACAGTCTAAAGGTTCAGAGTGAGGCCCTCAGGTGTTCTGAGATAGGGAAGAATTTACCCTTATATGAAAAAAAGTCTGAACTCTCCACAGATTATCTCAGAGGTCTCTCTAGCTAAAGGAGTTCAGGAAAGTGGCTTACTGCAGTCACCTTAACCTTGGTGTTTCTCAAGGTACAAACATTTGCATCTTTCATGGGCATAATTAAAACTGCACTTCCTTGAATGAGCCAACATTACATGTGGGAATCATATAAGATTGAACCAATTCATTGAATTCATGGATATCTCAGCTGCCTTTTACCAGTGAACCTCAAGAAGGGGACCTTTTAACCCTTGAAAACTTACAGGAAGAGCTGGAATGAAGATCGTGACATAGGTGTGGGTAAGCCTATACAATGAAAAGAAAAAAAAAAGTGATGGAGGTCTCCATTTTAAGGGAAAGGAAGGCGGGATAAACCAACTGTAACTGCCTTTCACATTCTTGGCTCTTTCTAAATTAATGGGCTTAAACCAATGGAACAAATATGAAATTTACAATAGGGCTTGCCACCTTATAACTCAAACTACCTTGCTTGGTTCTTCCAAGTCTTTAGGTCTAGGACAGGTTTTGCAAACTCAGCACCATGGCTGGATAATTCTCTGCTTGGGGAGCTATCCTGTGTGTCTTAAGATGATTTGTAGCATCTCTGGCTTCTACTAGTAGGAACACCCCAATACCAGTTCTACTAACCAGAAATGTCTCTTGACATTGTCAAATGTCCCCTTGGTTCAAAGCCGCTGGCTTAGGATAAGGACTTTTAAAGGTCTTTATCAACTAAATCATCAAGTCTCAAACTTGTTGGCACATTGAAATCTTCTAGGGGAACTTTGAAAGATACTTGTGCCCAGGCTGTACCCTAGACCAATTAAAACGGAATGTTAAGAGGGAAGAAGGACCAGGCAGGGGTGGGTTTTAAAAACTCTGAGGTGATTTTAATATCAACCAGGGTCAATAATCACCAAACAACAAATAAACACCACAAATGACCATTTCAACATGGAGGATGTTTGCAAATCTTATTTCACTCAAAACTATTTACACTTGAAGTCACCCAGAGGAGGAGGGGATCTAGATCTTAGGTGCTAGGTATGAAAAGCACTAAGGCCTGGTAGAAGTCAGCTGGGGAAAGTTTAATCCCTCTTAGTGTGTAGCCTTGTCCCTGGCCTTTGTAATTCCCAGAGCCTGAACTTGGATGGGAGCATCTTTCTGCCAGGACAGACCCAATCCCACCATGGCATGGCCCATCTTACCTGGACACATCTGGGTCCTGCCTGAAGAGCAGCAGGATCTGCTGGGTGTTGAGGAAGAGGGCCCAGCAGGGGAAGCAGCAGAGAAGCAGCACCAGCAAGCTCCTCTGCAGGATGACCCCCATGTACTTCTTGTTGGGGCTACCATATGTCTGGGTGCACATGGCCAAAACAAACCCATTAGCACAGAAATGGCACCCCCGCTGTCCCCTGCAAAGGTCTTCAATTATGCCTCATGAAGAGACGATTGGCCCTAGAGAGCCTTTGTCACATTCTTTAGGTTTGGGCAGTTCTCAGGCTTGGCTGTCCATTAGAATCACCTGGGAGCATTTTTAAAACACTGATGCCAGGGTCCCGCTAAAGATAGTTTGGATTTAACTGGTCCAGGGTGGGATCCAAAGATCAATAATTTTTCAAAGCAGTCCCTGTGAGTCTAATGTACACTCAGGGTAGCATCACCTAGGAACTTGTCAGAAATGTAACATCTTAGGCCTCACCCCCAGACCTACTAAGTAGAAACACTGGGAATAGGGCCAATAGCGTGTTGGAGCCAGCTGCTATTGGCTTACCAAAGCCAAATTGTGCTCATCTCTTCCCAGGTCCCTCTTCAGTGACACATGTGTGGTAGCTTGAAATTAGCTACAGAGGGATAACTTATACCACTGGAATCAGCCAACAGTACAAGTTAGAATGTTTCCTTCTCTGTTGAGGAGAGACGATTCTATGATGTCACAGCTGCCTGACCACAGCCAGACCTGCCAGCTGGATCTGGGACGGAACAGAGGTGGTTTCCCCTAAGTCTCCTCAGAGACTGTAGGATTGACCCCTCCCCATAGCATAGTGGTTTGTGCTGGTTTCCAGAACAAGCCATTGCCTGCCCTGGGCAAGCATGTAAGGCATTTTCCCTTTATCTGGGGTGGTGATACCCCAGTACCCCTATCCTTCCTGCCCTGTCCTATGTAACTCCTTAGTGTCTGGCATGTGGCGCAGAGGACACGCATGTTGTCTTGCCACTGCCCAAACACGCCTGTTTGTAAGTTCCCTTAAACTCTTGAGGTAATGATGGAGTAGTCAGCCTCTTTCTTTGATCTCTTAGACCCAAGATATTTTACAGAACACTCCCTGACCCAAGACCTGGTTGTTCAGCATTTATCAACAGGGGCCCACCTACCTGTTTTTTAACAAGCCCCCAGGTAACTCTAATGCACACTAAAGTTTGAGAACCATGGGAATATACCAAGTTCAATGATGTGGAAAGTGATAGAAGGGACTTTTACAAAATGTCTCCTATTTGGTCGAAGTGTAGTGTACGGCAGTCATGCATATTAAACACTACTCTATAAGCCTAGGAGACATCTAGCCACATTTCAGAGAAAACAGGTGAGGGGAATTGGAATTGATGGCTGACAAAATGCCGCAGGGTTTGCTATTGAGAATTTTCTCCCTCTGTGCACACAACTCTTCCTGCTGGTGGGGTTCTTCCAACTACACTAGAGAGAGATGTCCAGAGTTTCTGTGAGAGTGACCTGGGGTTTCCATTTACCTGAGACATAAGGGTGTCACAAGCAGAAGATAGGCCAAATCCCACTGAGATACCAGTGACGTTGATAACCTGGAAATAAATGCAAAAGAGAGGCCACTCAGAGTTAAAGGAAGATAGGAGGTAAGTTCTCTGTCTGCGTTGATCAGACAGAGATCAGAGTACCTCTGCAGGGTGCCTCTGCCAACCCTAATAATCAGCTTAATCAACTCTATTATCTGCCCGGAGCCCCTACACAAATCCATTGTACCAGCTTCATTAAGCACGTGCACAAGTTTAGAGAGGTAAGAAAAAATCTAGGCCATGGGTTATTACCCAATCTTATTCTTTCTTAAAATCTTAAGCATTTTGCTCCCCAATTTCAGAGGAACATGAATCCTTCCTAAGGGGAATGCAACATGGCACAGTGGAAGTTTTGGGTAAGTCCACTTGTTCAAGACCAAACATGACCTGTTACAATATCCCAAAGGACTCTTGGCGAACAGAAGCAAGTCTCAGAAGTTGAGGCTAGCACCAGAGGCCTTCCAGGTGTACTTGTCTTGACCAGGGTCAGTAACGACCTGGGGTTCTTAGAGCTTTGAGGATCCCAGGGCATCACTCCCCCAAACCAGGGAGTGGCATGGCAGGACATCTGATGTTCTTCCTGTCTGGTCTGGAACCTGCTACCTCCACCTGACTGCAGGGAGGTGCCCTGGAACAACAGCCCGCACTAGGCCCAGTATAGAAGTACCAGCTTTATTACACTTCCTTGGCCAAAGAAACTCTGCTGGAAGCTAGCTGAATGCATTTCTGTCTTCCCCAAAATTTCCAAACATTAAAAACCAAAAAGAATAATTAAGCTGGGGTTGTCTATGTTGCCCCCTGAAAGCAAAATAATCTATATATACCTAAGGACCAGTTCAGAGTAGTCTTGCACAGTTCAGAGATAACAAACTCAAATGCCTAGAGGAAGCGGGTGGGTAAGGTGAATGTGTGCCTCGTCAGGGCTGGAGCAAAGGGGAATTGGGAAGGCTGAGGAGAACAGGAACACACTTGCTGAAAGCCACTGAATCCATTTTTCTAGAAATACCTTACTGGCTGAACCAAACAAGTTGGCAAGGCCCCTTGGCCATGCATAGACAGTAAACCCCTGGCAGAGGTCAATGACATATCTCTGTAGTTTTGGAGGTTTGCATCTAGAATACAGAAAGGTTTTGGGGTCCCTCCTGGTTTGGGATTTAGATATTAGGATATAGGATTTCAATTTCTTGATTAGGACTCTGAGTGAGTCGACATGTCATGGGAGTGGGGGTCGGGGGAGTCACTGTTTCTTCTGAAGTCAGAGTTCAAACCCTCTTTCCTGATTTCCTTCTGCAAGATGTGGGACCAAGAATCGCAGCCAGATCTTCATGGATTACAAATTAGCTGATGTGGTAGACAGAATAATGGTCCTTCAAAGATGTCCATGACTTAGCCCCCAAAATTTGGGAATATGTGAGGTTACGCGGCAGAGGAGAATTAAGGTTGCAGCCCTGCCAACCTTGATTTTAGCTCAATGAAACCCATCTCAGACTATTGATCTCCAGCACTGTAAGATAATACATTTGCATTGTTTTAAGCCACTAAATTGTGGTAATTTCTAACAGTAGCAAGAGGAAACTAATACCGACGACTTTCATAAATCCCTGTTAGAAAGTCCCACACGTACTGCAATTGCGAGTGTGACAGCATCCAATTCCAGCTTCCCCAAGTGTCCACAGAACACGGAGCTTATGAAACTGATCAGAAACACCATCAACTGGGCCAAGAACTGGGAAGAGACAGAAAATAAGGAGTTATATATGAATGCCAACCATCACAGTCAAAGGAGAGGTGCGGATCTTGCGGCACCCCCGCGCCCTCTCTGAATCAACTCTAATTAGAAGCAAAGAATCATGGCTTTTAGTGAGTGCTGCCAGCTTTCACAGGTGGGTTTCTTGAAAAATATTTAAAAGTTCATTTGTAACCGCTTTCGGAATCATGTTTTTGAGAAGTTCTTAGCTTTCTAAGTTTATTTTTCACTTTAGATTCGTATGCCATAGATGACATTTATATTTTCTCTGAAAATTTCAGAGGCTGCCTTCTGAGATAAACCTTGTTATTCCAGATTCCTAGTGAGGGCTGGAGAGAATATAGCCTCTAACAGCCAATAAAAAATTCCACAGACAAGAACAGCTGAGGCAGAAATGAGATCATCCAACTGGAAAGCCCATGGAATCTGGAATCTTCAGCTAAAACCAGTCTGCAGAGCACTTTAATTCTTGAATTTTATGAGGTCTAGGATATGAGGGCAAATTCAGCTTCTAGAACATTGAGCCACTGTTCCTCACTATTCCAAGAACCACTGTGAACTATTCTGCAATGCTTTAGCTGCACATGTGGACACTTACCTTATTTCCTTCAGTTAATATAAAACCACCTCCCCCCCACCCCTCACCCCCACCCCCTGTCAGACCCAAGCAGTTCAGTACATCTTGAGAAAGACCCTCTCTCCAGGGAGGCTTATGTGGTCCAAGAGGAGGATTCATTTGACTCTTGCTCCCGAGGAGAGAGAATTCACTGCTGCTGTTGCAATGCTGCTTCTCACGGTCCTTCATGGGCAACAGACTCCTCTGTTCTGAGTTCAGACAAGACTCAGTCTTTCCTGGGTTCGCAATGACACAGTTTCTAGTCTTCACTTCCATCAGCCCACACACGGCCTGTCTGAAAGAGTTGCAGCCAGCCCACACATTCGATGTCAGAACCTAATCAGGATCCTACCCCTGATGGTTCAGATGACAGCCCTCTTTCCTACCCTGAATCCATATAAGGGGAAAGACAGTTTTCAACTCCACTGTTGGGCGCAGATCCTCAAAACATGAAAGGCCCGCTCCTAACCGTGAGTGTGTGTATGGGTGGCGGGGTGGCGGTGGGAGGGCATACCTTTTCCGCATCAACTTCCAAACTATTACCCAGGTACCTTTCTCACTGCTACAGAAACCAAGTGTGACTTTAATCTCCAACAGGGCCTTCTGATAGTTAGCAGAAGGGATGCTTTTAGAATGTATAGCAAAAGTAAGCCAAAAGGAGACAGAAGACAGGGGACATTGAAAAGCTGAGGGGCAGGGGTGTGAATAAGAAAGGTTGGTATGAAAAGTCCAATTCTGTAGAACCTAAAGCTAGAGCCAGTGGACCCCATGGACCTGTACCAGGGGACAGGCTGTGATTCAGGCATTGTCAACCACCTTAACAGATATTCTCTGTGGTTTCATTCAGTGGAGCTTGGCGTCTCTTTGTGACTTTATATAACTTTGAAGGTCATAGGGTCCTTTTTTTCCTCTGTAAACTCAGCATCACTTTCAAATCTTTTCAAGTAATTGTCCTTTAAGCCTTTATGGGCATAAACCATTGCAATCAGTTGTGTCATAGAATCTGCTTCCCTTTTTCCATAGAACATGGTATTTCCATTCCACAGTGCCCTGTCTCACTGCAGGCCACATGTAACTTGTTTCCCATGGCTTCAGATGAAAATGTGCTCAGTTTCCTCTATGGTCAGGACTTTGGATAGCTTCCCAGATTTTGATATTACAAATTGTAATGCATGGAACATATTCTTAATTGGGTGAAGAATGGGCATTTTCTTGGGGCAAGTGCCTAGTCCAAGGGTGGGAACACAGTCATGCGCCACATAATGACATTTTGCTTGATAAAGATTATAACGGAGACTTTAAATGAAATCTCATGGGTCTGTGGAAAGAGCTAGGGCTTAGAGGAGTTCTCACACTCTATGTCACTATGAGAACCCTACAGGAAGAATTCTTTGCTTACAATAAAGCTCTATGGTTTTAACTGTCCCTCCCCTTAACTTCCTTTTCCCTTCTACATATACTTCTTCATCTTGGCACGCCGGGCAATGTGTGCACATGGCTTGTCATGTCTGCACGCGCTGGATACAACTTTTTTCTTTTTCCCTGAATAAATCCTTTTTAGTGATGAAACACCTGGTCAATATTATTTTTAGTCCACATGGTCAACTATAGACCTAATATGTGATGGTGAACCCATAGGATTATAATGGAGCTGAAAAATTCATATCGCCTAGTGACATCTAGCACAATGCATTACACAAATACCATTGTGCTACAATTGCTCGTAGTATCCAGTACAATAACATGCTATACAGGTTTATATCCTAGGATCTATAGGGAAATAGAATTTTTCACCCTAGATTATCTCTTTGACCTAAGGATTTTTTAGGCTGGTTAATTTTAAGAAACAGCAGACATGGAAGAAGCTCTGAAAACCAAGTAGAAGTTATCCTTTGTAAAAGACATCTCCATTTGTAAGGTTGTCTCCTTGGTTGTACCATGAAGAGTGGAATGACCTTATCTCTAGAAACTGTGCAAGAAATATAAAAAATGGAGCCGCTTTAAAATGGAGCAGAGCTGCTATGCCAGAGGAACTATCTTGTATATTAGTCAGTAATTAAAATAAACCTTGTGATCCCAAGGCAAACATTGGAAGAATAATCTCTTTAGGGGCAGGACAGCTAGATGTTCAGTTTTGCCACTGAGAGCGAGCATTCTTAGAGTGTCTCATGGATTGTGATTGTGATGTGACATGGTTCTGACCTCGGCTGGGGGTGAGGAGGATGGGGTCGGTCCTCCCCTTTGACTATCAAGCATATGCTCTGACTAACCATGACCCAAGTTGTAATACTTTATAGCACAGTTGCAACCAGGCAGAAACGTTTATATAAGATTTTGCCAAAAGGTATAGGAAAACAGAAGGGAAACAAAGCCAGACAGCAACACAGATTCAGACTCCGGTTTGTGAGGATGGCCCAACGCTGTGAAGTAGTCTGTCAAATTTCTCAGGAAACGTAGAAGGGAAAAATGAGACCCCAGGGAATTCTCACCTTTAAATCTGCTGCTTTTCTTACTCCTACTTGCATTCTAGATGAGGGCGCTTGAAGACTCTAAGCCTCTCAGATTTGAGGAATGTTTCTTCACATCCCACCTACACATAAAAAAGTGAGGCCAGAACCATCTTCAGAGATCACTCACTAGAGCCCTTTGCACACTGGGGCGTTCATCAAAATCGCCTGAGTAGCTTGTTATAAGTACAAATTCTGGGACCACAGCCTCAGACATTGTGACTCCACATGTCCTGAGAGGACACTGGGAATGTGTGTTTTTAAAATATAGCCCCATAGGTGATGTACTCACATCACATTTCAAAGACAGAAAACCAGGCTATAGATGGAACTTGTTCAAGGTTACATATGTTCAGCAAGAGGGTTTTTGTTTCTCGCCCTCCCCCAAGCTCGTTCTCTAATCTTACATCTCAAATCTTCGGAATGTTAAAACATTCCGAAGGAAAATAATCTTTAAAAGGAGATCTACGGCAACATTATACCCCGCCCCCACCCACCCCCCAAAAAAAACCTACAAAGATGACAGGAAAGTAGTTATTATGAATACTGAACTGATGACTACTGGACTGAAAAATTAAAAACATTGTTTAGAATTAACATCCCTATGTTGTGTTATCTGCATCCACAGAAAGGCCTTCCTTCAATAAATGTAATCGTTCCCATTCTCTTTCTCTTAAACACCCCTTGCCTTTGTCTCCTAATGAGAACACTATTTGGAATTATACCTGAATCAGTGCTTCTTGAGTAGCTATTCTTACTGATCTTAATAAGTGCTTGTTGCCTCTCACTTTGAAAGGCTCTTTTATTTCAGGTAACCAAAACTCTTATCGGTGCAGACCAGGACTTAAATCTGCACGACAAACTTGTTAACCGTGCTTTTCCTGGTCACCTGCCATAACTGAGTCCTCCAACCCCCAACATCTTCTTTTGTCTTCAGCTGAAGATGGTATTTAAGGTAATGATTTCAGCCATTTTGGCAAGTTATTCAGTTTTCCTGGTCCTCTCCCATGTATACAGGAGGTATACATTTTATTAGACTTTTGTTAATTTTTCTCCTGTCAATCTCTTTAATTACAGGGATGTCTCAACCAAGAACCCAGAAGGGTTAGAGGGAAAATTATTTTCCCTTCACTACAGAGCAATAGGCTACATCATAGAGCCTAGGTGTGTAGTAGGCTATACCATTCCGGTTTGTGTAAGTGCATCTATGATGTTCCTACAAGGATGAAATCACCTAAGGATGCATTTCTCAGAACATACCCCTATTGTTAAGTAGTAAATGACTATGGCTAAGACATCTAGACAAAAGGCCAGGAACACAGTGCTTAGATGGTCCAACGCAGAGCCTTCCTGAGCTTCAGTCCTGAGAGGATCCTGGCCCAGAGTTCATATTTGCTAACCTCATACTTGTTCTCAGGTACAGGTTTCATGCTCTTTGGGTAATCAATCTTAGCTACAGCTTGTGGTTCCTGTGCATAATGATCCCCTGGGGATGTTGTTCACAAAGCTGATGGCTATCTTAAGAGACCATTTCTAATGTTGTAGAGCTGAGGGATCTGCCTGTCAACATAGCCCCACTCCTGCTCCATACACACCCAATCAAGATGTGCTGGTCAAGGACCAGACCTTTCAAAACTGTTCCGTTCTAGAGAATGTTGCTGTGCCAAGGGATTAACCAACCTGCATACTGGTTTGTTCTCCCAGATGTCTCAAGGACTATTGTCTCAACAGCCTGAACTGGCAGTGGCTCAGATGTAGCAAAACTGCCTGTTAGATAAAGGTCAAACCATTAGCCTGCATGTTTTGTGTGTCTTCTGACTACGGTCAAGCCAGTCTCTCCAGATGTCCTTCACCCAGCAGAGCCTTCCTGGTCTTTCAGCCCTGCAGCCCTAGAAGGTTCTCCAGCTTTCTCCCAGGAATTCCTTTCTTCATAGAGATGGAAACAAGCTCCCTTCGTTTGTGCTCAGGCTATTCTACCTCTTTTACATCCTTGGCCTTGCTGTGCATAGCCATGCCTATAGGGAACTGGCAAGCCTCCTTGGGATTATTTTTCAGAGCTCTGAAAGTTCAGCCTGGCGATGAGGTGCTAATGACAAAGAGAAAGCCCGAGGCTAAATAGTTTCCACTACTGCCTTCCATCCCTTACAAATACACATTTTCCTAAAGTTTTCTATAAAATAAATAGAAAATATGCCGGTAGCATCTTTTCACTTGTGTACTGTTCATCTTACAGTTTCCTTTGTGTTATGCATTATTCTATCTTTCCAGTCTCATTTAAAGCTCAATTGGAGAGTGGTAAATCCTAACACCTTAACTTGAATCCTCTTGATACTCATGGGTCAGCGTTAATCTGAGAGGCCTGAAGAGGAGATGGGGAATGGAAGAGAAAAGATCACAGAGAGGAAATCCAGACCAGGCATCCTACCTAATGTGTGGAGGAGCCTTGAAGAGCAGAGTATGGGGCACTAAGCATGGGAGAAGGGGCCATCTCCTCCCCTCCATCCTTGTGCCCCTCTGGAGATAGAAAACTCACAGCAAGTAGGAATGGAGATTAAGAGACCAGGACTCCATATGCATTTCATAAGAGACCAAACAGGTGCCAGAACTCTATGACCTCATTGGGTAAAACAGTTACACAGAAACACACATAAAGGACTGAAGGGAAAATTTCCAAATTAGTGGTGAAATCTCTTAGTGGTGAAATTTTAGAGCTTTTTCCTGTTGTTTTGTCTTGGTTTTCTACTTTTTCAACAAGGCATATATATTACATTTGTAATTAACAGTCATATGCATGTGTATATCCAAACATAAAGGGTGAGAGGCTTGGCATGTCGGTCTAACATTCATCCCTGGAAACCAGGAATGTCCCCTACATCAAGGGGACCAGGTTATTGTGGGGGCCAGCAAAGGCAAAGGACCTGTCCCATGTGGGGCTGGGTCTCAGAAAGCTGCCTTGTTTTTCGTGCTATTAGAGTAATAACAGCCTTGCAGAGACCTTTTTCATGACTGTGAAAGGGAGTGTAGGACCAAAGCACAGCGAATATCTTAGAGTTATGAATGAGCAGGGGGAAGAAGAAGGTACTACTCAAGTTCGAGTAGCTGTTTCCTAACCCGCCTTCTGAGATCAAAGCAGGGAAGTGGGCCCCCCATATGGAAATTCCAAATCTTTCCCTTCTTCCAGAGAGCTTCGCGAACTCCTTCCTGCTGGATGGAGTTTCATTTCGTGGCTTTGTCCCTGGCATTATTCAATAGCAAGTATTTCAAGATCCCACAAACAATAGAGTCACATGCCAAGAGGGCACACCTGCTGCCTTAGGCTTCTACCTACTGCCAAAAGTCCCCCCCCCCACCGCCCCCCGCGCTGGGTTCTCCTTGTACAGTGAAATGGCTCTCTACCCTGCTGACTTGAAAACCACCTGAACTGACAGCACAGGGATGTGACTACATTTTTTATGGGTCCCGTGGTTTTTAAAACCCACATTACTTTTAAATAGACAACGCAGAAAGTGCCCTAACCTAATGATAAGGGGAAAACCTCAACCCAAAAGAGAACCACATTAAAAACTTGTTTTGAACACAATAATTGGGGGAGGAGAGTGTGGGACAGGACGCCTCGCATAGAGGTTGATTCTAGATAAGAAATAGTTTTTGAGCTCCAAATCCAAGACAGAGAATTCACCTTCCTCCTCCCTGACTCTAGATAATTTAGATAGCTGAGCTCCAGGACCACTAATTTTCCAACAAACCAAGTTCCTGAGTGTTTTGTAGTTCTGATCATTTGCTTGCTTTGCCAGAATAAAGTCCAGAGAAGGTGGGTTGATCCCCTTTAGGCGAGCAATTCCCGCACCCCAGTGGCCCCCAAAGCCAGGTCGCTGGCCAGCTGTGCCAGCTGTGCCCAGCGGGTCCGCGGGTTGGGCGGCGGAGAGCACTGTCCCGGACTCGCGGACGCCAGCCGTGCTCTGGGCACGCTGCCTCCCCGCGCCCGCACGCCCGACTACAGCTGCCTCTGCTTTGCCAGCCTCCAAATCACTTGGGGCGACAGGGTCACTGGGCTCCCAACCAGCCGAACTCACCGCGGGCCCTGCCAGGACCAGGAGCGCCCTCAGCTCCTCTCGGAAGTTGGACACCCGCAGGCCGCGTAGCCTGCGGCGCTCCGGGGTGGCCTCCAGACCTTGGGGCCCAGGCCTGGGCTTCTCGGGAGCCTCCATGTGCCTACCGCTGTGCAGCCCGAGAGCTCCGAGGCTGCTGGCAGAAGAAGCGCAGGGCTGACCTCTCTCCCCAGTCTCCGCCCCGGTCCGCCCTCCTTGCGCCCGCAGCCCGCCCGCAGCCCGCCCGCAGATCTCCCGCAGCCCGGAGCCAGATGAACGCGCGGCGAGCATCTGCGATCTTGGACACGACCCTTGCACCTCCGCAACGTTGTGAACTTCTGCAGTTAAGGCAAAGTTTGGAAAAACTCTGGAAACAAACGGAAAGCCATTGCGGGTGCCTCGGACACCAGGACTGACCCGGCTCTGCGCCTCCCCTGGGTGGGGGGCGGGGGTGGATCTCAGGGTCTGAAACGTGTGGTGTGGAAGGACCCAGGGTCGCAGTTTGGGCGCACGCCAGCGTCTTGGACACCTCCTGGCTTTGGTGGTACTCGCTCTGTAGACTGCCTTCAGCACCTGCCTTCAGCACATGCTTTATAACTAGGTTTAGAATTTGCGTGCTCCTTTTCTCCCACCAGTTGTTCCATTGAAGAACTTTGAATCTACCAGGATGCAACAACAAGCCCACATTTCCGATTAGGGCTATTTATTTTCTCTGGTCTTCTTGGATGTTTCATCGTCTGCCTGACGTGGGGAACAACCGGCCTGTGAGCATCAGCAAACGTGGATTCAAGAGACACCTACCACGTTCTACCTAGGAGAGCATGGACAACTTGCTTGCCTTCTATGGCCTCAGTTTCCTCATCTGTAAACTCAAAATAATATCAACATCGCCGGTTGTGGTGAGGGTTAAACGATACTATATAGGCAAACCACTGTGCCCTCAGCCTGGTACACAATAATTACTTAACAAATGATAGTTACCAGGACAAGGATGACTTCTGTAATAGTCAAAATTCCTTCCGTTGTAAATGACCTAACTTAAGCAAAGAAAATGGAAAACATAAAATTTGGGGCTCGCATAACCAGAAAGTTTGAATTCAGGGATTTTAAAAGAAAATTATTAGTGTTCTATTCCCTGCCTCTCTTCCCCTGCCCCCTTCTCCCCACTATTTTTAATTCTTTCCTGGGTGTCATTCTTTCTCTGTAGGGGGCATCTCTTTTCCTGCTCAGGGGAGGGTGTTCTCCAGTGTAGGGGTTTAGAAGAAGTCACCCCAAGATGTACGACTGTGATATGCAGATTATTTTGTGCTAAAGGCAACCAACACCCGGGGAGCTCAAGAGAAAATTCTACCTCTCAACTACCTAGAAGATTTAAATTAGAGGTCTTGCCTATAATGAGTTATTATCAGAGATCATCTGTTTGACCTACCTGTATGGTGGACAAACTACTAATTACTAAACATTTGCTCTTCTTATCATCCTTCAATGACCTTCCTCCCCTCAGAAATTCCGAGGTGCCTTACATTATCCTTACCTCAGAATGCCACATATACCACATTTTCCCTTTATGTCCTGAACTTCTCATGTATGTGGGGTCTATGACTCTCTCATGTATGTAGGATTTCCATACGCACAAAATTAAAATTGATTTTCATTGCACATCAGCAGCCTTCATTCCTATCTTTCCTACCCTATAAGCCAGAAAATAAGACCCTCTCCACTTCTCTCTAGCTCCAAACAAATAAAAAACAGGGTGACAATTGTTTAGCCCTATGTAGGTTTCTTTTTTTCGTTTCTTTTCTTTTTTTTTTCGTCTTTGTAACAATCATCCTGGCCAGGAAAACAGTTTGGCCAGATCTGGACCATGAGCTCAGCTCTATACCAAAAGGGTTGGGTGCTGTGACTGACAGTAGTCCCACCAGAATTACATGTAGGGAGTGGAGGAGAAGGAATTTCTCAAAAGAAATTAGGATCCCAACAGACAAAACTTCTGAGATGTATACCAGATGGCCCTACTGCTATACTTTGATACTCTTCTTGAGTCCTAGCCAATGAAATAAGGTGTGAAACAGAAATGCAATATATAAACATTGAGAAAGAAAAGGCAAAACACTACTTGCAGTTAAAATTTCAGACAATCTAAAGAGATCAAATGAGAAAAAAATGTAATAGAATTAATAACGGGGTTTTAAAAAGTTGCTATATACAAGTTCTCTAACAGACAATATCAGTCCTTTATATTGGTAATAACATACATGAAAATATTGGAAGAAGAAATCTCTTTTACAATAGCAACAAATAAACACTTCTTGTGATTTGGAGCCTAATCCTGTACTCCTTAAAGGGGCTGTGTACAATGATTGCCTTTAAAGAGGGTGGTATGGAAAGCAGGAGAAATAGTAATTTTACAGAGGAGAAACCTGGCAAACACTACCTCACCCATAGATCAAGGTTAATATAAATGGTGATAAATCAGACTGATAGTATATAGCTGTATTAGTTTCCTAGGGCAGCTGTAAAATCTCACCAACTTGATGGCTTAAAAAAACAAAAGTTATTCTCTCACAGTTCTGGAGGCCAGAAGCCTGAAATCCAGAAGCTAGCAGAGTTAATGATCTCTTGGAGGTTCAGAGAGAGAATCTGCTCCATGTTTCCTCTCCTAGCCTCTGATGGTTGCCTGAAATCCTTGGCATTCCTTGGTTTGTGGCATCATAATTTTAATCTCTGCCTCTGCCATCAGCTGTGTGTCTGCCTCTGTGTCTGTTTTCTCTTAAGGATACCAGTCATTGGATCAGAGATTACTGTAATCCATATAACCTCATCTTAAATTCTTCACATTTGCAAAGACCCTATTTCCAAATAATGTCACATTCTGAGGTTTGGTGTAGAAATGAATTTTGGGGGTGGGGAACACTATTTAACCAAGTTTAGTACCCTCGATATGATGTAATAACAATGACGCTTTACCTCTATGGTCTTCCCTATATCCATAACCCAGTCCAATATTCAGGGGAAAAAAATCAGACAAATAACAATTGAGGGACGTTCTACAAAATACCTGGCCAGCACTCCTCAAAACTGTCAGTGTTGACAAAAACAAGGACATTCTGAAAAACTCACAGCTAAAAAGAGACATGCCCATGAAATGTAAGGTGGTATCTTGGATGGAATCCTGGAACAGAAAAATGACATTAGACAAGAACTAAGGAAACCCAAATAAAGTATGGAGTTTAGTTAGTAATAATGTATCAATATCAATTCATCTACTGAAAATTATTGTTTAAATAGAATCAGAGCACCTGTTTCAATTTCAGAAGCAAATCGCTAGAAAATTCCCTGTGGGGATACAACTCTCAACAGCAGGCGAGACCAACAGAGAACTGGATTTTGGGGGAACACTTTGAAGTTTTCCACAAAGCAACATTTGTAGTTTTTAAGTGTTGTCTGGGGGTTACATTTAATAAGGAGTAACATGTATATGAAACTATTTGACCTCTTTGTTTTGGTGTTCTCCAATTTTCACCTCATTGAGATTAAAGGAATCAAAATTAAACGCATTTGGGCCAGAGCACAGGCAGCCCTCTGTGTGTTGTGGCAGATTCTCAAAATAATGCCTAAGAATAATTTTATTGTGAAATATATGTGACATTTATTTATGAATTTTAGGAAAGACCTGAATTAGTTAGAAATGCATGCTATTCTGGAAGAGGACCAGTCTTTTCCAATTAATATATCAGGTTTTAGTCCACTCTATTTCATACTTTTAAATTTTAATAGTGAGTATAAACAGGCAAAGATATGAATTTTAAAAAAAAAAGAAAGTAATGGAGAAAGAAATATCTCTATCAGCCGATAGTTTTTAATATAACATGCAGTTAGCACAAGACTAGACAACTAGACAAGGGAACAATAGACAGCAAAGAAATTGACCTTATCCACATAAGCCTTATCTTACATTAGAATGTCACCTATGTGAAGGCCATTGGAATTGATGAAGAAGGAAAAGACTACTTTATAAGTGGTTGTGAAAAAACCTGCTTGACTTGTAAAGTATTGGAATTTTCATTCACATTGCAATATATCTGCAGATTTATTCAGAAGGAATGTACCTAATTAAAATACTGAGTCTTCTAGCTCAAACATACCCCTAATCCAATCAGTTTCTGGGAATTCCCCAAAATGAGTACGGTCATGTAACTTCCTTGTTAAAACTGCCTGCTTGAGAGAGGGCCTGTGGGTTGAGTCTTCCTTTGGTTCTCCTTTTCCTTTGTCTTCTCACAGTCTTTGTCACCAAAAAAGCCAATTTCTCACTACCCTGCTCCTCTCTGGAGTGCATTGCCTCGGGGTGTAAAAACTTCTGAAGTACCAAATAGAGGCAATTTGATATTTTAAGCTTTATTATCAAAACTCGTGTTGTGTATTGCTTTAATATGATTTCAAATTCACCTGTTTTTTACTTCAGTGAAGTTGTTTTAATCCACTATTTTATGGCAAGGATCAAAAGAAGGTTGTTTTGATATAAAAATGAAGTACGTTGTGTCATGCCATCATCATTCCACATCTGCTGTTGTTGACAGTCGGCAGCCCAGCTCTGAGGGGCCCCATGAGGGCTTTATCCACAAGAACATGTGGAGAAGCAACTATGGCAAGGGGACATTTAGACCTTAAATACTGAGAGTTTATGAGTAGTATTGGAGAGTTTCAGTTTAAGTCAGGCCACTCAGCTAATCTAAAACTCTCCTCAGACCTTTGGGGGCATTAGCTCCCGTCTTGGTGAGGTGACTCCTCGCGAAAGAGTTCAAAGAGACCACCTGCACCAAGTCTTCTTTCCCT